ATATGCGTCATGACTTTTCCGACAACCCAATATTTGCCGCCACTTTTATCTTTCTGCAATGAACATCATCAAGAATATTATAAATAATATCTTTCTTTTGTAATTAAATATTTTAACATTTGGAAAATCAAACAAATCTAAAAAACACAAAGCCTAAATATTGCTAGGTAGCTAAATAGCTGACTAGAGGGGCATACACAAAACACGGTAATTATTTGGAGGAGGCGTGTACATAAGGTGACAAAACTACCTGTCGTCTTAATCAATACTTGAATGAACTTCATTGACAGAATGTGCAGTAAATCTCCAGCTATCTTTCTGGCTCACACTTCCCTCTGAGTACTGGACTCATATACCCAATTATCTATATCACTTGAATTTTCAAACCAGACTTTGAGAAACGTGTAAAAACTAAAAAAATAAAAAGAACAAAAAAGAAATCATGCTTTCTCACTGGGCTAAATCATTAGTGTCTTTATCAAAGAACATGTAGTAAGAGCCCATTGTGGGCTGATTCTAGTTTCATCATTTAATAAAAAATTAGGAAAATCAAGGAAAGAGGAAAATGTCTTCTTTTAGGTAGGAGGGCATTTTATTTTATTTCTATGCCTAGCCTATAAAACTAAGAGTTGTATGGTGTTTTAGAGTTTGTTTTCTCTTACATTTTCTAGTGCATCCTTATAACATCTTTCTCGAGTAAGGACTGCCTTCCTATTGCAGTTAAAGAAACTGAGGCTGAACAAAGCTATTCGTCAGGTTTACAGAGCTATTAACATGGAAACAAAACGGAGAATGAAATCCCTGCTCTTTACTGATGCTACTGTCCTCCTAAGCCATGGAAGAAGACAGGGCCACCAGGATCCCCTGCAAGGAAAACTTTAACGTTTTGCACTTAGTGCCTTCCGGGAAGGGTGTAATGCATTTCAAGAACTCACCGATAACTGGCCTAGGCAGCTCCTCAATGGACACTATTTCTGACTCAAGAGAAAACGCATTTCGGACAGATGAGCGTGTACTCCATTTTCAGAGATCTCCAGAGATTAAGATTCCACATTATCTCCGGTAATTCAGTAGAGAACCTAATAACTCATACTCCTAGGAAGTTTCTTCTTAAATGTAACCTAAATTCTTTATGCTTCCCTTTTATCTTCTGTTGCTATATTTTCTGTAGAGATGGAGACCAGCTGGCTACCATTTTCTATAAAAAAGCTCTCTCAAGTACTTCAAAAGAACATCATTAAACCTCAACCCTGGCCTTGCCTTCAGTGTCGAACACATATCCAGGTAGTCAGCTGTAAGTGACAGAATTTTCCTCCATGGTTTTGTCACCATGAAGTGGCCAATCAAGACTAAAAGAAGGGCACTGCTTTTCTGTTTCTGACAAAGCTCTAGGCAGGGATACTAATAAAAAATGTTAAAACCCCATTATTTCTTAGTCCTAGTTCAAGTTAAGAGTTTGGTCAAATTAAAACAGGCAACAACACAAGCCCAGAATAAAATTATGATTCTCAGCTGTCATTCATTTCCCAGTAACTTAAATCTTGGCTGTTACACTTTGTTTTCCTGACAGTGATTTTGGGAGGAAGTAAATAGCCAGAAGGACACATCAGATGCAGCAAAGTAACCCCCATACCTGATTTTAGATCTTGGTCTTGACACTGTTGAGTTATATGCAAGGAAGTAAGAACAAAACACAGGTACTATCTGCTCTCACAGATATTATTTCATTTAATTCATAACATCCTGAAAGGTTGTGATTACTATCTTGTCCTGATTTTGGCTCAAAGACTCACATTCTAAGCAAACCGGGTCACAGGGTCACCTTGTGTCCGTGTGAACTTGCAAGGCTGATGTCTAGAATACACAGGTGATAGGAAGAGTTTCTGATGAAAATGCTGATTTACTGCGGGATCTTTCTCAATCCATTTGTAGTTTTATCCTAAAGTACTAGTGACTAATAATATATCTGGTGGATTAAATTATATTTTAATTGTAAAACCCATAGAAGGATTTCAGAGACTTACCCCAAACATCTGCCGGAGGTCAGGATCCCGGAAGCGGAAAGGAATATTAGAGACATGCAGTCGTTTCGGGGTGGATTTACTCTCTGAATTTTCACTACTTTGTGTCTGTGATTGCTGGCCGTCTGTCTGTGCGCCCCCTTCTGTCTGCTAAGCAAAGAAATAAACAACAATGAACGAAAAATACAGACAATTACTTCACATGAATTATGTAAAATAATTCAAGTCCTCCCCCATCCCAATCCTTCTCAAGTGTGTCTTTAAGCAAAAATTATAGTTGCCCCTTTAAAGAGAATAAAAACCCAAGATAGATAACTATGTTCAAAATGCTATAGTTTACAAACAAAATTTAGGTCTTTTGAATATTTACAGTGCATTAGTTTTAAAAAAAAAAGGAGCTAACAGAAATACTAAGTGACTTGCCCAAGATCACATGGAGATGTATTAGGATAACTGAAGATATAAAAATAGTACCATTACTCTTAGATTCTTAATAGAGCTTTCTATTTTTGAGATCCTTCCATTTTGAAAATGAGTCTGTTGTGCTTAGTTGTGGAGATCACTATATTTTTGGTCTATCATTCCAAGAAATAAGGGGATATTTTAATATTCCATTCCCTCTGTTAGTTCCAGAGCTTATGACTAGTGGGTTAGCAAAGTATTATAATATTACTTATGAAGAGGAGACACTTAGTGACAATGGGCACTTTACTTAAAAATTGAAGAAGCTTCTTACTCTGTAACCAATCTGTCCTCTCCTCCCTCATTTCCGCAATTCCAGCTAACTCTATCCCAGGAGAAGCCAACCTTTTTCACTGCCCAGAGCAAGGCTGCACTGAGAAAATCTGTTGGGAAAGGCTTTAAGTAATCTGAGTAATCTACTAGATACACAGAAATGCTAGATTTGAGTATATTCACAGAGTGAACGGGTATAAGTGAGTGTCAGGGTGCATTTTTAATCACGATAATCTCTTTTGCAACATCCCAGGCTCACGTTCATCTCATTTTTTTTTTCAATAAATCCTCAAAAAAGTTGCTATGTTGAGAAACACTTTTGACAAATATCTAACAGGTGTGACACATTCTAGGCATTCACAAAGCATTTATTTTGAAGTATTCATCTGGTAATTTAATAACTGTATGTTTTTCCTATTCTCTATGAAGTGCATGCCAAACCAGATGGCTTGCTGAGCTAATTAAACCAACATACTTTTAAAACAGGAGTGGGACCTGCTGTTCCTATTATCTCAGTAGGGTTAGAGCTGAGTCGCTAACAGATTCTTCTGGATGACGTAGGCCAAATCCCCTCCCTTCGGCCCAATGTTCAACTACAAGAAACTGTGAAACAGAGTCACTTTTGGCTCAAAGATGTTAGCAACCATCTTGAAATGAAGATTGAAGACTTCAAAATATAAAAGATAATCAGGAATAAATTCTGAATGAATACCAGCTTTTCAAGTGTCAATCTAAGTGATGACGGCTTTTATCTCATTCCATTCAGGCCTTCCAGATGGCTTAAATGTGTCATGATTCATGTGCTATAAAAATAGCAGAAAACGCAAGAGCTATGAAGCAATATTCTGCGAAAGTGTTAAGGTTTTCAATCATCAATCTGGGCACAATGAAGACTACACAAAACCAATTCCATCCAAAGATGAAACTCACAAAGTTACTATAATAAAACAGCGCCATGGACGCTAAAGCAATAAGCATAATCATTTACAACTAATGCTCAGCAAGCACCTTCAGGCTTGCCTCTCATGTTGCACGGCTGGATCACATAAATGTTCTTCAGTCACACTTTCAAACCACCAGACTGGGTCTGCAGGATGTCAGTGTGTCACTCTGAGAAAGGTTAAAAAGACTGATTCTAGCTCTAAACCACAGTTTTAAATATAACATATCTGTAGGCCCTGTAATCTATAATATTGTATGTGAGGTGACAGATAAATGAAAACTAATGATTACTTCGAAGTATGTAGCCCAAGCTACTTATTTGTTGCTCTTAAAATTTTCTAACAGCTCTGAAGAAACAATTTAAGAACATGGTTAGAACCCAGATTGGTTAATTTTCAGGCATTGTAGTGAACATCTATATTTTTTAAAAGTATGAAATCTTTAATTTTAGAAAGATTGGTAAGTAGAAAAAGTGAACTATCATTTCCAAAATTCTCAAAGACTTCAGACTTAGTATAAATTTTTAAACTGAAGTTTAACATCCATAGATAGAAATGCACAGATCATAAGCATTACAGCTGAATCAATTTTCACAAAGAAAATACCCTGATATAAACATCAAATTGGATCAAGCAACAGAACTCCAGAAGTGCCCTTGGATCCCGCTCCAGTCACCATTCTCCTGCCAAAGGGTCACCACTATCCTGACTTCTAACTGCATAGATTAGTTTTGCCATTTTTGAACTTAAAAATAAAAAAGAGTTATCACACAGTATGTACTCGAGTCTGCCTTCTTTTACACATATTTGTGTTATACATGCATTACTATAATTCATCCATTCTCTTTTCCATTTCATAAACATACAGAATTTGTTTGAATTACTTCCAGTTTTGGGCTATCAAGTTCTTCGTTACGTGTCTTATGGTGCACAAGAGCATGCATTTCTGTTGGGCATGTATGTACCTGGGAGTGGATGTGCTGGGTTAAGGATATGTGTAAGTTCAGCCTTAACAGATACGGCAGTTTTCCAAAGTGGCTGTGCTAACTTATACTCACTGTATATGAGAGTTCTAGTTGCTCTCAGTGTTGTCATTTCCGTTTTAATTATTCTCGTGGGAAGCAGTGGCAACACAATGTGGCTTTAATATGCTTTCCTCTCTTTAAAACTATGATCCTTTCCAGCTGGCCGAGTGGCACATTGATTAAGAGCTGGCTTGGGACACCAGCTCTGAGCAGCAGGGCCCCAGTTCAGATCCCACATGAGGGCCAGTGACGCTGCGCCCTCTACAGCTAAGATGGGGAACAGCTCGACCTGGAGCTGGGCTGCCGTGAGTCACCGGCGATGGCGTAGGCTGTAGCCCCTGCTGCAGTGGGCTGCCATAAGCTACAGTGAGTGGCCCGCAGCGGGCGTGAGCTACCAAGAGCTGCCGTGAGTGGCCGTCCAGAGGTCGGCTACCTATCTGCCTCACCTGGGAAGAGCGCAATGAGAATATCAACATGGGTCAGTGAAGCGACATCCTCCACAACTAGACTGAAGAACAAAAGGACAGCAATTTGTCTTCTGTTCCCCTTCCCCTGATTCCCCAGCGCTATTCCCCTCCCTCAATTCCCCAATAAAATCTTTAAAAAAAACCCCACTATGATCCTTTCTTCTTTCCACTTACAGAATTTTGTTAAAAAATGGGAATTCCTTGTAAAATAGCAATTATTTCTTGAGTACATACTATATGACAGACCCATATCTAAGCCTTTTAATAATAATTAATACTTAGTGCTTACTGCTGACAGACACTGGCCTACAGATTTCATATACTTTAATTAATGTAATTCTTTCAAAAGCCAAACAGTAGTGTTTTCTTTTTTAAACTGAGAACACAATAGGTACTATTTTTTTTTCAACCCTACTTTTCAGATGAGGAAACCAAGGAATAGAAAGGCTGCCTACGTAATGAGCAGGGGTGTGAATACAGCAGTCTGGCTGTGTATATGCATTTCACCACTACATTATACTGTACTTTAAATGTATTGCTTTTTAATTCTCCAATAATCTATGAGGCAGGTTCTATTATTACCCCTAACTGACAGAGGCAAAAACTATGGCATAGAGAAGGTAAGTTAGTTGCTCAAGGTCACATATTCAGTGGCAGAGCCTCGTCTTTTTAACCTTTCTCAGAGTGACATGCTGACATCCTGCAGATCCAATCTGGTGGTTTTAAAGTTTGACTGAAGAAAGTTTATGTGATCCAGCTGTGAGGTGTAAAGAGGCAAGTCTGAAGGTGCTTGATGAGAATTCAAAACTAGGCAGCCCCATTTCATGTGCTAAATAAACCGCTTCCTTTCTTACACTGGACCCATTCTCTCCCTTTCTCAGGACCCTCAGCAGAAGGAGCAAGCCTTCTCCTGGGTGGAGGCAGGCATGGGGGCAAGGGACTGGGAAAGCTCCAAAAGAGGTGACATGTGTCTATACCTGGAGGGAAGAGGAGCAGGTCAGGCCACAAAGGGGAGGAAAAGCAAGAGGAAAGAAAAGCAGCAAGGCACACTGAGACTTATGAGGGGAAAAGCCAGAGAAGTACTACACTGATAGATACTCAAAGGAGCTGAGGGCAGATTTCTGTAGAGTGGACTTAGGAATAGGAAATATACATTGAATGCAATGAAATGAGATCATATTTCCCATTTGACATTCTCAACTTTACGTTTGCCGCAATACAGACAACTAATTTTTGAAATAGACAAATCAGAGAGAAAAGGAAAAAGTTTTTAGGCTTTATCTTTGTGAAAAGTGGACAGTGAAACTGTTCTGGAGAAAAATCTCAGTCAGCATTGGTTTGCTATGTTTTCTATTGTTATCTGCTGAGCAACTTTACGGACTGTATAAACAACGTCCCCAGGTCCTGTCTTTCCTTCTGTGGTCGTTTTCTGGCCTAATTTATTCACTGGGCAGGGGATGAAACAGAAGAGGCTGGAGTCTGTGTACTGAGAGTTTACAGTGAGGACTGGCGGTAGAGGCACTGCTTGATGCAATCCTATGACTAAAGTCTATGCATCCTGCTCTGTAAACAACGGGCCTCCCCAGTGAGGTCCAGCTATCTGTCAACGCCGCAGAGGAGCCCAGGGCTTGTTACACTGAGGAGCAAATCAGACTCTTTAAGTCTCAAAACCTCATTCTAGAAATGAGGACTAAAACTGTTTTGTTTTGATGAGCTCAAACTTTTAAAATTCTTCTGACTGGGAAATGGATTAATTGTTCTGACTTCTCCATGAGACAATGAAAATATTTTAACTATTTATACATTATGATCAAATGTTCTGTTACGGCCTGAAAGATAACTCTGGGCAATACAATATGAAGTATTATTTTCCAAATCTCTACCATAATAAGACTTAATATATAATCTGAGATACTAAGGAATCTCCTGATTAATTTAGGAATAATATTTTGATTTATGAATGATCCAATTTTTTCAATAAT